GGAATTAATGTCCTTGATGAATCCAAACCGATGTGCCTTGGCCCGCCAGCCCCCTGCACGGGACTGTTGGGCAGCACGGCACCAGGGACCTCGCACGGTTATTTCGGGGTTCCCGTGCCCACCTCTCTCTGCGCCATGTCCCTGGTCCCTATGCCAGGGATGGGGACACCCCACACCCATCCTGACCCCTCACATCCCGCTCCCACGTGGCCTTTACCCCACTGGCTTTTGCAGCCGGAGGGATCCGGGCGCGTGTGAATAAATTTGTAGCCCCGGATCAGTCATGGCTGTTCCCCCCCATCGCTGCAGGTCTGCCGGCCGACACACTGCAGGGCCACCGAGACCGTTTCCACGAGCAGTTTCGCAGGTAACCCAGGGCCAAGGTGGGGCGATGGGGTCCCCTCTCTCCCGCCAGGCCCCCTCCCCTGCGAGCAGTTTTTCTTTCCCCCCCTCTCCAGCCTCAAAAACTTCTTTAAGAAAGCATCCGACATGCTGTATTTCAAGCGGCTCATCCAGATCCCTCGGCTCCCAGAGGTAAGGCAGGATTTCGGTGTGGTGCTCGTGTGTGATGCTTTGCAGAGCTTGTGGGTTCAGGGTGCACAGGGTGTCCCCACGGATGGGTTTGGGGTCTGGGGACACTGCAGAGGGACCCGCCGGCACATGTCAGCAGCACAGGGATGGCTGCCTCCCTTCCCTCAGCGGTCTGCCTGCAGCCGTTCCCGAAACGCCAGGCGATGCCACCGCAACTTCTTGTCCCTGCAGAGCCCCCCGAACTTTGCATGTGAAGCCGGTGGTCGTCATCCCCGAGGAAGCCCCCGAGGATGAGGAGCCGGAGAACCTCATTGAGATCAGCACGGCTTCCACCACGGAGCCGCAGGTGGGGGCACGGGGATGGGATGGGGACCCTGGGACGGAGGGGACAGGCACCCGCAGGCTGGCTCAGCTCAGCACCCTCTGTCTTCCCCAGATCACCTCGGATATATTTGAGCAAACCTTCGGGCCACCCAACGGTATTCGGGACGACAGGTATGGGGGTCCACGGTGGTGGAGGGGGGCGGCTGCTGCCGCATGGGACCAACCTGCCTCTCTCCGCAGGGATGCACAGATCGAGAGCCTGAAGAAGGAGGTGGACATGCTCCGTGCGGAGATGGAGAAGATTAAACTGGAGGTAAAGCCCAGTTTAAACTGGGGAGCAGCCAGTGCAGGAGAGGGGCGTGGTTTTTGATGCTGTAGCATGGAAACCCTGACAGGATGCAGCAGGAACCAGGGTCCTTGCACCCAGTGCCACGTTTTGGGGCCTTTCCCAGTGCCAGGACATGACTCCTGGTGAAGATGGGGACACGTGAGACCTGTCCTTTGCTGTCCCGGACCTGCTGCTTGCAGCAGGGACAGAGTGGCTGCAGGGCCGAGGGGAGAGCTTTCCTGCGCATCTCGCGGCTGCTTTGCCCAAATCGCAGCAGGGCACCTGGCTAGGGGTGTTGGGGAGGGCACAGTTGTTGCTGGCATCGGTGCAGGGCAGTGCCCGAGTGCCTGATGGTGTCCCGCAGGCGCAGCGATACATCACGCAGCTCAAGGCGCAGGTGAACAGCCTGGAGGGCGAAGTGGAGGAGCAGCGCAAGCAGAAGCAGAAGGCGCTGGTGGACAACGAGCAGCTGCGGGACGAGCTGGAGAGGCTGCAGAGGGCGAAGCAGGACAGCGACAGGTCCCAGCGGCTCTGTGCCGAAGCGGAAAGTAGGTGCCCTACAGCACCCGTCGGCCATGGGACACCCGCGCCGCGGTTGCTGATGCTTTCTCACCCCGTCCAGAGAAAGCCAACGCCACTGAGATCCGCTACACGAAGCTGAAGGAGAAGCACAGCGAGCTCATCAACACGCACGCCGAGCTCCTGAGGAAGGTAACGCTGCTGCCTGCGCCAGGCAGGGACCGACCGCTGCCTTCGTTCCTCTGCCACCGCGTGTGGCTTTTGCGTGCCCAGCCCCACCCCGTATTGGTCCCATCGTCCTGAGGACCGAGTGGGGGGCACCCCTTGAATTCATGTCCACCGATGGTCAGCGTTTGGGATGTCGTGAAAAAGACATCTCCAAGCTACCCCTCCAGCCAGAATTTGGGCAGAAGGAGCACGGCGGTGGCGAGGGTCCCCCCTCCGAATGCCCAGTGATCCCCGTGTCCCCGCGCAGAACGCCGACACCGCCAAGCAGCTGACGGTCACGCAGCAGAGCCAGGAGGAGGTGGCACGCGTCAAGGAGCAGCTGGCGTTT